TTTACTTAACCCTAGCAGGAAAAGGGTATTCAATAAAGATGGACATTGAGGACACCTTGAGTTACTTCAACCAAACAAAGTTCCTTTACACATGTTGATCCTCCAGTCAAAACTCAGAGAGAAGCGATGCTTCTCCCCCCCCTCCAACCCCTTTTCCTCCTTCTTTTCCTCCCCATCTTTTCCATCTCCTCCTCCTTTCATTTCCTCCTTCTCCTCTTCCTTCTCTTCTTCCTCCGCCATCTTTTTCCTCAGATAATGAGAAAGTGACATCAACAATCTGAGCCCTTGGTCACCTCCACCTCACTGGAGGCCATCGAGTGGAGGTTAGATGAACACCTGTGGGGACATTGACGAGGGATTTCTGTGTAGACATGGGCTTGTGGGCTGCGCAAAAACAGGCCACAGGTGGATTTGGCCCGAGGGTCATAGTTTACTGACTCCTATAGGATCACAGTATACTTTGTTAACATGTGAAGACCTCATCATGTCCTTTGCAGTTTTTTTTATCTGTGTAATGTTCCCATTGAATAGAATGCAAACTTCTTGAAGGTAGAAAATATTTCATTTTTGTTTTAATTTCCCCAGTTTCTAGAATCTGCTTTGTCTTTAGTAGGTGCTTAAAAAAGGTTTGTTGAATTAAACTGAGTCAGGATGAAAATCTCACTCTTTCTAATTCTTTTTTTGTTTATTTTTAATTAATTTATTTTTAGTTTTCAACAATCATTTCCATAAGCTTTTGAGTTTTAAATTTTCTCCCTCTCCCTCCCCAACTCTCTCCCCAAGATGGCATACAATCTGATATAGGCTCCACATATACATTCTTATTAAACATATTTTTATATTAGTCATGTTGTAAAGAAGAATTAGAACCAATAAGAGAAACCACAAGAAAGAAACAAAACAAAACAGATTAAAAAAAAGAGCAAATAGTATGCTTTGATCTGCATTCAAACTCCATAGTTCTTTCTCTGGATGTGGATAGCATTTTCCATCATGAGATTTTTGGAGATGTCTTAGATCCTTGCATTGCTGAGAAGAGCTAAGTCTATCAAAGCTAATCATCGCATACCATGGCTGTTACTGTGTACAATGTTCTCCTTGGTGTGCTCACTTCACTTAGCATCAGTCCATACAACTTTTTCCAGGTTTTTCTGAAGTCTGCTTGCTCATCATTTCTAATTTTTCTAATTCTAAATCCAGGGATCTAGTCTGTTTTTTTCAGGCTAAGTCCAGGGTGGGATCCTTAATTATCACATTTCACAATCTTTCAGGTGGGAGGTCTTGTGGTAAAGAGAAAAGGGTGTTGACTCTGGAGTCAATAGACCTAGTTCTAATCCTGCCCCTGGTGCTTGTTACTTCTGAGTTTCGGCAAGTCATTTAACTTCTTAGATGGATATCTAATTCTATAAATTGAGGGTTAGAATAGACGGCCTCCAAGTTTCCTTCCAACTCAAGATGGATATTCTATTTATAGCAGAAGCTGAATTGGCGTGTAGGGGCCACCTCATGTGCTGAGAGCTCCCCTAGAAATTTCCAGGGATGTGAGGACTTGGTATTTGGGGGTGTTAGAGATAACAAACTTCCCAGCTGCTGGTCATGTGGTGGTTGAGTGCTGAAGGATGTGGGAGTTTTAAAATAATGCCATGATCCCTTCATTGGCTGCTTAGCCAGAGAAGCTAAATGATTCAGTGGTCCTTTAAAAATGACTAGGACTCCCTGTCTTGTTCAGGCTGAAAGGACAGGGGTTACTGATAGGATGAATCCTGATCTGACTGACCTGTTCCATTTCTGACTTAGGCCAATTCACCCCTTCTTAGGCAGCCTGTTGACCCCTCAATCCCAGGAGCTTACCATATTGATGACAAACTTAGAGCAGATACATGACAGGATACATGAGTGGATACATGTTTTAGCTCAGAATTCCTCAGCTCGAGCAATCCACCAGCCTCAGACTCCCTGGTGCAAGGATTTCAGGAATGTGGCTATCACTCCCTACGTCAGGGGTCCTTTAAAGGGGAGTGACAGCTCCCCTCTCCATTGTCTTTCATCTCTCCAGATGGCATCTGAAGGCTCTAAGACTTTCAGGGAGGGATGGGACATGGGCTAGCCCTTTCCTACTCTGGCATCATGGTGACTACTATCATGAGGCTGCTAGAGTAGTGAGTCTCTACCAGGTGAGCTTATACTTAGGACTTGGCTGTCTTTTCTGCTTTGTATTTCCTTTTCTGAGTTGGTGACCAAGCAGAAACCTCAAGGCAGGTATGTCTAGGATGGTGACCTTGTGAGTTTGGTAAGTCCAGAGATCCATTAGTCCATGGAGTAGAATAGAATGATGACCAAGGGAGTTTCTCCATCAGATGAGATGATCACCAGTAGGAAGATGGCTAGGAGTTGTTTGGACAGTGCAGAAGTGAGGTGAAACGTAGCTTTGCCTATTTGATGGTCCCCAAAACTGCTTAAGGTTCTGATGAGGTTTAAGTATTAGGCTACCCAAAGATTGTAACAATTAATATAAAGGTAACTAAGATGTTAAGTTATCTAAGATACAGATTAAGTTAAGGGGTCCAGCCTAGTTCATAAGTGACAATAATTGAATCCTGCTTTAAGTTGTTCTGTTGTGAGGGCTCTGTACTTGAGCATTTCTTTGTGTGTGTTTGGAAATACTTGTCCCATATCTGATTTACACTGTACATTGAGTACCTTTTACTGTCCCTCTTTGGGTTGACATAGACATAAGTCAAGATGTAAACTTTAAATAAATTGTTCCAAGGCATCCAGATGAGGGTTTTAATAAGCCAAAGTATGCAAAAGGGGTGCCTAATACCCCTTCTTATCAGAAGACAGGTTCTAGTGGGTTGAATTTGGTCTGAATGGGTGAGCACTGTAGCCTCATAGTGGAGAAGGGAAAGAGGCAAGGGCCCAGCACTTTGGGCCAGGCAGGGGTTCCTTATTATTAGATATGATGCTGTGTGGATCAGAAGAAGTCTAATCTCCTCTGGGTCTGCCTTTCCTTTTATCTATTTGAATTGTCATTTCAGCAGTGACCATTAGGTGTCAGCAATTTTCAACTTTTCAATTACTTCCCTGCTCTTCCCCCTCCCTCTTTTGCCTCTCCCCTCCCCTCCTTTCTTCCACCCAACTGGTCCAAACACTTACATTAATAGAATGTCAGAGCTGGAAAGGACCTTAGAAATTTTTGAGTTCAATCCCCTCATTTGGTAGGCAGAGGAAACTGTAGCCCAGAGAGAAAAGTTAACTTGTCCAAGGCCAAATTTTGCTCAGCCCAATTCTCCATATCCCCCATCTTCCATTTAGGATGAGGGGTGGATCATCTAAATCCATGTCCTATGACTTCCAGGGAGTAAGTTTATGGCTGGAGACATGTTATCTTTCCTGAGGGAGTTTCAACAGGACAGGTTCTGTTGTTTTCTGCTCTAGGTTTGTTGGATTTACACCACCTCCCTCCACCCCCCCTTCCCTTTCTTCACTTGCCTCTTTCCAGTGCCTAGGCAAGAAACATCTTGAGAAGTCACCCAAATCAGAAAGGGCTTCCAGGGTCAGTGGTAGGGGTGGAGATGGGGGTGAAAAGGGGAAAAGTTTGTATAAATGCAGGAGAGAACCCAAGTATTCAGATTCCCAATTTTCCCCCTTATTGAGGTGAGTGGTGTGAAAAATCCGAGGGATATCCTGGTTCCAAAGCTTTTGGCTTTAATCACTACCAGACCAACCTTCTTCCTTGGAGTGTGGGAGGAGAAGGAATAAAGGGGAGCAACCTAGCTCTCAAGTGATCAATCATAATGGAACATCTTTGGAAGGACTGGATTACAGTTCAGTTCCTGCCCAGGGAGGCAGGGATGAAGGCAAGTGATCCTACTCCCCCCAGTTGTTAGCAATCATCTCAAATTACTTTGAATTAAATTTTCTGTGGATATCTTGTATCACTCCAGTAGAATATAGGCTTCATGAAGTTGGGAATAATTTTAGTTTTGTCTCTGTGTTCCCTTGCCTAGGACAGTGTCTTGCATATGTTAAGTGCCTAATAAATGCCTGTTGAATTAATGTGGCTAGGGGAGGAGGGCAGCAGAGAAGGAAACCTGTCACCTGGCCCTCAGATCCTGCCTACCACATCTCCAGGACCCTCTTTGGGGGAGGGGAGAGGCTATTTCAGGCAATCTTCATCCTTATACTCTTCTACCTTCTTATAGGCAACTTGATGGCTCAGTGGATAAATCTCTGGGGCTGGATTCAGAAAAACTTGAGTTCAAATTTGATCTTAGATACTTACTAGCTGTGTGACCCCGGGCAAATCACTTAACCTCAATTTCCTCAACTGAAAAATTGAGATAATAATAGCACCTACTTCCCAGGGGTTTTTGTGAGGTTCAAATACTAGTATAGTGCCTGACACATAGCAGGTACTTAACAAATGCTTATTTCCTCCTTTCCTTCCTCCTGTGGGCATTCCTTAGTGGCGATGAAATGATGCCAAAAGTATGGGGTGGGGAGGGATGGCAAGGATGGGTACTCCATGCCCAAAGTCACTGACTTGGTGGAGTGAGCCATCAGGAAGTAGAGTGGTTTGGACAACAGGACTCCTGGTTTTATTTCCCATTGTGTGTGATGAGGAGGGCTCAGAAAGAATTCTAGGTTATTGGGGGACAGAGGATCATGTAAAAAGAGCTAGTTGGGGTTCTCTTTCTGGTCACCTTTTTGCCTCATTTTCTTCTCCTCTTCAAGCTCTCTCTCTCTTCGGACTTCAGGCTCCAAGTTCCATTCAGAGCAATTCTTTGCTGCTTTCAAGCTGTCCGGCTTCCTTCCTCTTCAAGAAAAGGACTTTCAGATGTTGCAGCAAAAGCTGGACAGGCATCCCTCTGGCTTCCCCTAAATAGCGCTCTCTCTCTTTCTCTCTCTCTCTCTCTCTCTCTCTCTCATTTGGGCTCCCCCACCTCTGGGAAGGAGCTGGGGGTGTGGCCAGGGGCCGGTATAAAGTCCGGGGGAGCTGGGCTCGGCCAAGCATTGCTGCACTGAGTCCCCCTGGTTGACGGCATCGGGCTGAGAATGCTTCTCACAGGCCCTGCTACCAGGCACTCTCCCGTTCAGCCAGCTTACTAAGTTCCTTGGCTAATTCCTTGGTCAGCAGAAGTCTCCTATCCAGGGCTGAACCACCAAGGGCACCTGCCCCAGTCTGCCTGTTTGTGACCTCGGCTGTTGCCTGGACCCACCTACCTCTCCTAACTGTTGCTGGCCCTGCTCCTCCCCTGTTTACACCTCGACTGGTCATGTTGCCCCTCTGCCTTGTGGCTGGGCTGCTGCTAGCCGCTGTGCCAGGGCTCTGTCAGGGAGATGAGGCCATCCACTGCCCACCTTGTTCAGAGGAGAAGCTGGCACGCTGCCAGCCCCCAACGGGCTGTGAGGAGTTGGTCCGGGAGCCTGGCTGTGGCTGCTGTGCCACCTGTGCCCTGAGTAAGGGGATGCCCTGCGGTGTGTACACTGCCCGCTGTGGCTCAGGCCTACGCTGCTACCCACCTCGAGGGGTGGAGAAGCCCCTGCACACGCTGATGCATGGACAAGGGATATGCATGGAGCTGGCAGAGATTGAGGCCATCCAGGACAGCCTGCAGACCACAGGTAAGGAGCCCTCAGCCCCCCACCCCGAGCTCCTTGTCCTCTGCCCCTCTATGCTCCTCCCCACCTCAGGCCCACTGAGGTTTGTGTTTCTCCAAGCCTCTGTCTGACGATGAACCTCTTCTCCCCTCCTTGGTCCTCATGTCTGGATCCTGGAACAGCCTTCAGCTGTTCCATCCTCTTGTCCCCAGGGTTGTGGTCAGTGTAAGAATACTTGGTGGTATCATGTCACCCAGGCCCAGGGACAGGCACAAATCAAAACAACTACCAGAGGGACTGGAGGAAATAGTCTTTGAGAGCCCATCTGGCCCTCATCCTCTTCTCAAGACTCTCAGGGTGCTCAAGTCCTCTGCAGGGCAGGCTAGGTGGTGTGGTCTTGCTGCTGGCAGGGAAGAGACTAACAAGTCTTAGGCCCCTCCAACCTCTCCAGCCTCAGGTCTTTCCTCATAGATCAGAGCTGCTCTGCTCTTTGTCTTAATGCTTTGAGAGCTGGAGTTTGCCAAGGGAACAACTCTGCAGAGTCTGGAAGGACAAGGAGGGGCAGGAAGACTGTGTGTGTGTGTGTGTGTGTGTGTGTGTGTGAGTGTGTGTGTGTGTGTGTGTATGTGTGTGTGTGTGTGTATGTGTATTTTTTTTTGGTGGTGGGGACAAGAGGGAAAAGCATAGGAATAGGAGAGAGTCAAATAGTTCCAAGATAGTTCCTGAACCAAGACCTTCCTCCTTTTAATCTGGCTGAAGGAAGATTGGTTAAACCTAAGTGGTCTTGAGAGCCAAGTTTGGCATTAAGGTAGAATTCATGGGGTTGGAGAAAACCAGATTAGAGGGGCTTTGGGAAATGGTGGAAGAATTCCCCTTCCCCAAAGCCCTCAATCCATGTCTCAGAACTGGGGGAGAAGGGTGTCTGGGGTCATTCAGGGGCAGTAGGGGAACAGATGGGCGATCTGCCCATCTGGAGCCATTCTCCTTCCATGGTATAGAAATGCCACTCTCCTCTTTCCTGGCAGTTGCTATCATCAGGGGGTTGGGAAGGGAAGCCCTGTCTCTGAACATACCTGAAGTTTTAGCTCCCAGATCTGGACAGGGGAGAGTTAAAGTGAGTGTATTAACTCTTTTGGTGACTGGTCTACTGTGATGGGAGAACTAGGAAACCGAAAAAGTGTTTGTGTGATGGGAGGACAATCTCCCCCACCCCCAACTTCTCTCTCTCTCTCTCTCTCTGTGTCTCTTCCTAGTGCTTGAGGCTCTCTTATTGTTAAGTCTTAGCTCTAGACGCTGGGGCTCTGGGCCCCTGAGCTTCCTGACCTTAAGGCCCCAGTCTCTTTGCTTCCTCAGCTGCTGGGAGCAGGATGCAGGTTGCTGGGGAAAACAGGAAGGAGACGGCCCTTAAGGGTCCTGACCTCGGCCTTGCCTGCCCCCTCAACTCACTAGGCAGGGAAAGGTGGTGTGTGTGTGTGTGTGTGTGTGTGTGTGTAGGGCACTCCGAATATCTGAATGGGCACATGGACTAAACCAGGAGAGAGGAATTTGAATGAATGACCCCATGTTCTCTAGGGACTTTGGAAGTGGCAGGGGCCGACGAGGAGAAGACGGCCCTCATTTCATGTTGGAGGGTGTATGGTGGGTAACCCCAGCTGGAATATCTCCGGCTTTGTGGATGTGGTTGGGTCCCCCTCCCCTTTGTGCTTATCTGTTTCAGAGGAGTAAGTTCTGACTTCTGCCCCAATGGACCATGCCAGACATTGGTGTGAGCTTGGTGGCCTGTATGTCTTATCTCTGAGCAGATCTGAACCTTGAAGATGAGAGTTTTATAGCAGAAAGCTTGGACACCAGTGTGGTACTTTCTAGGTATCTCCTCTCAAGTTCAGCCAACAAGCATTTATTAAGCACCTACTATGTGCCAGGTACTGTGCTAAGCACTGAGGATAGAAAGAGAGGCAAAAAAAAATAGTCTCTGCTCTCAAGGAGCTCATAGTTTAATGGGGGAGACAATGTATAAACTATGTACAAGCAAGCTATTACACAGGATAAATCGGATAGGCTCCCTATCTCTCTCTAGCCAGGAAAGGAAAAGGGAAGGAGTGACCAACCTTCATCTGTGGAGGGGGAGAATACCTCCAAGTCCTTTGGATCATTAAAAGAACAGCATACAAATAACACGGAAAATATCATGTAAGCCAATCCTGGAGGCTGGAGGTGTGTGTGTGTCTGTGTGTGTGTATGTGTTTGTGTGTGTACATTAATTTTTTTGGGTGATAGGATGGCAGTTGTGTCCCCCATGCCCATGGCCCTCTGAGTAGCACATGTTTTCTGTTCCATGTTCCCTCTAGGACTCAGTTTGAATCTGAGAACTCTAAGGGAGAAGGAGAAAAGGTGTCCAGTTGGTGAGGTCAACTAGCGCCCTACCTTCCCTGCTCTTGCCAGGGCTGGATGGTTTAAGCTTGAGATTGGGTCCTCAGTGTACAGACATAATGTGCCTGGAACCTTCCAAACACCCCCAGCTCCCTACATACTCAGTCACTAGACAGAGCGTGTCCAGGAGCGCAGGCCCCTGTTGGATCTCTTCCCAGGAAACACAAAGAGGGAAGACTCCCCCTTTCCTGCCCAGGTCTCTAGGCACAGCCCTGCTGCTCTTGTTTGGTTCTAGCTGAGGCTCACAGCTTGCTTTTTGCCCTGGTAGGAGAGCCTTTGGAAGCTTGCTAAGCCACCTTTTCCCATTGAGCTGTCGCTTTCCACCCAGGCAGCTTTCTTCTTGACTCAGATTCCCTCCGGACAGAGGTGCAGCTGGGGGTAGGTGGAGTGAGTGGGAGGGGAAGGTGATGAGTAGGCATGCTTGGGGTGCCTTTCTCATGTGGAACAACCGTGGTCCAGCTGTCTCACATCTCTCTTTGCCCCGCTCCCTCTCCAGCCTCCTTTCATCTTGAGATTCTCAGCCTATCCATCTGTCCTGAAGGCAGAAGACTCCTGCCCCACCCCCCCAGCCCCACCTTCCTCCAAGTGGGACAGACAGGTTGCGCATTAACAAAGAGGAGGTCGCCAGAGGTGAGAGGCCATGGAACATCTGCGTCAGAGTTCTGTGAATCTGCTGCCAGCAGCAGCAGCAGCAGCAGCAACAGCAGCTGCTGCACCAGTAGTTGTATGTTGACCATTACCTATTGGCATCTTCCAGGGAGGACCCTGGAGGGGCCTAAAGATAAGAGCAGGGCTAGGGGACTCTTAAGTTCTGCCCTGGGTCCTCCCAGGATGGATAGGGGTAAGGGGGGTGGAGTAGGAGAAGGAATGTTAGACCTGGGTTAATTTTTAATCCCATATAGCAAATAGCATCTCCTTACCTCAGTACCAGGAACAGTCACCTCATTGGAACAGGGCATTCCCAGAAATCTGCTTTCCTGGGGGTGGAAAATGGATAGTTGTGTGCTGGGGAGGGGGAGTACCTGTTGTTTTTTGTTTGTTTTTCTCAATTGATTGAACTGGGCTACAGGTACCTCGGGCACTAGGAGCTGTCCATTTAAAGAAACAGACTCTCTAGGGATGATCAAATAGGACCATAGGGTTAGAGCTAGAGGAGACATTAGAGGTCATTGAATCCAAACCCCTCCCCCATTTTACAAGTGAGGAAACTGAGTCCCCAAAAGGTGAAGTGATTTAGACCAAGGTCACAAAGCTATGGGTAAGACTTCCGATTTAGTGCTATTGCCTCTGTGCCATGCTCCTCCGTCTCCATACATTCTCTTACAGTGGCTGGAGTTGGAGGAGGGCTAGGGTGACAGAGCCTCCAGTCTGGGACTCAGGGTGTCTAAATTCTTGGACAGACCTCTAAACTCTATGTCACAGTGGCTCCCTGTATCATAGAGACCCTGGATGGTTAAAGGTGACAGATTTTCCTCAGGGACCTGGGTCTTTTGGTTCCAAGACAGAAGTTGGATGAGGACTGAGGGTTCAGTGCCCCTGACAATGACAACTTGCCCCAACTGTGTCAATAACTAGGCCTACAATTTACAAAAATGAGTTGTATACAAGTATCTTATCAGGTCCTGATAGGTAAAGCAAGAGCCCTGGGAGAGCGCTAATGGGAGAAAGGGAGAGGATGAAGCTGGGAGGGGGACTATGCGATGCTAAGGAAAGGGTCAGGTATCTGGGAGATGGTCAGGTGAGAAAGAGCACTGGCAGATAGAAGCAAACATTTGGGTGAACATTAAGGAGGGAGCTGGGAGATATTGAAGAATTTTAAAGGGGCTGTGGGGATACTGAGGAAGAGGAGAATGGGGGGTTGCTAAAGGAAGGGAGACCATTGGTGGGGAGAGGTAAGGATGAGAGTGATTTTAGTATCTTTCTAGTGTCAGTCACAAACAAGTGATAAGCCAAATTCTGTGCTGGTAAACATATGATTAAGAGAAGGAGCATCTTCTCTCTGAGACCTGTATTTGGGGCCCCATTCTCTGAGGTCAGTACTGTTGTCAAATAGGGATTGGTACCCTCTTGGAGCCAAGCCTCAGAGGAAGGGGCTGGGCTGATCACTCTGTCCTCTGAACCCCTTCTTTCAATGACAGGGCTTGGATATCTGCCCAGGGGCTGAGTGCCCCACCCAGTGTGGTACCCAGTGTGGGTGGTCTTGGCTCCAGCCAAGGGGAAGCAGAGGGAGGAGCAGCCTCTTTTGGCTGGTGACCCTTCAGATTTTGGCAGTGGTTTGTTGGAGGGAAGGCTCCATTGGCCCAACTTATGGGTCCCCTCCCTTAAGGGGTCTGAAGGTACTTGGAGAAAAGGAAGACAGAGTCATGAGGATGGAGGGTTTTTGGATTATGGAGGGGTCTGAGGGGAAGAATGAAGTCATGTAGAAAGAAGAGGAGGAAGACCACAAACTAAACCTGGCCCTTGCTATCCCGTCAGTCCTGACCTGGGAGCTCTCCATTCAGTTGGCTTCAATTTGGGGCCATTTTTCCTAACTTATTGGAGCTGGGATTCTGTCCCAGTCGGGATGATGGCCCGACTGCCTTGCTCCAAGGCCTCAGGAACCCCAGCATCCAAACAAGCCTTTCTGAGGGTCAGCTTTGAGCTGTCTGGGGCTGTTCTACTTAGAGGCCCAGTGATTCTTCCACATGGCAGTGGGGAATGTACGCTGGAGCCTAACGGGGCAGGCAGTGATTAGGGAGTAAGGCGGGGGGTAGATTGGGAAGGGAAGAAGATACTTTGGCCATAGTACCAGGATGCTTAGGCACCTTGAGGATAGAGCTGGGTCTGCTCCCTTTTGAATCCTGGTCAGTGCTTTAGAGAGCTGGCTCTTTGACACTTCCAGAAAGCCCAACACTAAGTCCAGCTCCAGTTAATAGGGAAAAAGGTTAGGGGCAAGGCATGGAGGACAGATATGGAGGTTTTATTCCCTGGTATTAGGAGCAGAATGTCTCCTGTTAGGGATATGTCAAATGTCAAATGAAAAGTCAACAAAGGAAAAAAGTCAGTCTGCCCCTGAGCCCTGGAGGGGAGAGGTTGTTGTTGTTGTTGTTGTTGTATGTGTGTGTGTGTGTGTGTGTGTGTGTGTGTGTGTGTAGTTAGGCATACCACACTGGGTTAACCCCAGAATTCTGTCTCTCTCTGGCTATAAGAGAAGCCTTGTCTGTGGGAGAACAGAGCTGTCCTCCTTGACCTTTCTGACAAAAGGTTAAGGATAGGTCTTAAATGCCCCTTATTTCTCTTAAAAAACCAAACAAACCCAAAAAAACCCTTAAGTTTCCTCCCCATTGTAAAGTGGGGCATTCTTTTATTTGTTTGAAATAGAGGTTCTTTACCTTTTTGTGTGTCCTGGGACCCCTTGGGTAATCTGGTGAAGCCTAAGGATCTCTTTTCAGAAAAATGTTCTTAAATACATGGGACCATAAAGGAAACCAATTATATTGAAATACAGTTATCAAAATATTAAAAAGAACAAGTTCACAGATCCCAGCTTAAGAACCCCTGGGCCAAAATGGCCTCTCGGATATCTTGGGGGTGTCCCTGAATAGCAGCACCCCAAGTTGGGTTATGTAAGTCCCCATGGACATCTCTGTGTCCTTTATGGTGTTAGAGGATTTGATCCTATTCCTTCTCAGCTTTCATCTCTCCAGCATAGCCTTTTGTTTTTAGTTTATCTTTACTGGGAACCTCTTCTTTCTCTCTCTTTCCATTCCCCTTTTCTTTGGATCTTTCCTACTGACAATAGGCAAATACTAACAAAGACATTCCTATGGTCTCTTACAGTTCTAAACAACCCTGTGAAGTTGATAGGGCAGCTATTCATAACTTCATTTGGCAGATGAAGAAACTGAGGCCCAATTTGGGGGAGCACCCTCCATCAGTCACAGAGATAGTAACTGTCAGATTCAAGACTGGAACCGATGTCACCTTCCTCTCATGTTTATTTTCCTTTCCTCCAAACCAGTCAACTTCACAGCTCTTTAGAGCCAAGTCAGTTGACATCATCCCCCATTTAAAGCTCTTCTCTTTGAGGTGCCACTATGATTGTATAGGGGTGGAAGATGGTATTCTTTGTTTTCTTTCCAGGTGATGAGGATGTCCAATATTGTATAGGCCTTTCTGTCCATAATAGCAAAAGGGAAGATGTTCAGGGAACAGTCTGTAAGGACTCCTAGACCCCTTTGTTGGGTTGCAAAAGACAGTTCAGAGCCTGTCATCTTTTAAGGCCAGTTTGGAGTCTTTCTCTTAAATATATTAACTTTTACTTAACCACAAGTAAGTTCATTTGTCACTTTTCTGTCTGCTTGTACAGATTTGTGAGGTCATCCTATGATTCATAGAATCATAAGATTTAGCGCAGGAAGGAGTGTTAATCCACATCACCCTTCCCTTTATTTTACAGATAAGAAAACTGAGGTCCAGAGAGTGGAGTGATTTGCCCAAGGTTGCACAGGTAGTGAGTGGCAAAGTAGGGATTCAAACCCAGGTTTTGGGGTTCTTCCCCCTAGAACAGAAGTTTTATGTCATCTGCAGGTTTTGAGAATTCTCTGTGGATTCCCCTTTCCAGATAATTAGCAAAGGAATGTTAAATAAGATGAGACCAAGCTTTGGTCCCTGAGATTACTGCCTTTTGTTTCTATTTATCCCTACCTTTCGTTCCTATCTCTAAGCCAGTCCCCAATCCCTGGACAAAACATTTTCCCCAATCTCATGGTGACTCACTTGGAATAGTCTTTGGTGTGGAACCAAGTCAAAGGCCTTTTGAAAGTCTGATTTCCTCCCTGGTTGGTTTCCTTTTGTCCACTTTTTTTTTTTTTTAATAACCCCCCTTCAAAGAACTCAGAGAATAAAAGGAGAGCTGAAACCTAGATTTGGCTGGGGCTGAAAAATACCATTTGACCTAGAGGCGGCATTGGGATAGCTGCCACGCCTGGAGGAACCTGTAACCTCCTTGAGAAAAAAAGGCTCTGACACAAACCAGATGTGGCCTCCTGTCTAGCTGCCAACATCTGGAATTCTGGCTAGGGTTTTTTACTCAGTCTGACTACAGGCTGCCAAGACTGAAGATTTTAGAGGTGACCCTACTCATGGAGGGGTGCTTTTGACCTCTCTCTTCAATATCAGCCTGATTTGACACCTGGATCTCAGGGATTATCCCAGGGAGGGGATGAGAACTCAGTTGTATTTCTTCTTCCTTCTCCTTATGAGAGACTTGGCTTTGGCTGTAGACCTCCCATTGCAAGTGGACTGAAGACGTATGCATAGGGCAAGATTTCTGTCTCTCTGTGTCTCTATCTCTGACTGTTTTTCTCCCTCTTCTACTCTCCCACTCTACCTCCTTCTGTCTCTTTCTCTCTCTCTCCCCCATTTGTCACACACACCCATACAACTCTTTTCATCCTTGTATATATTCATGAATTTGGCATACATCCTCAATCATTCATGCTCATACTATTCCACACTTTCCTACACACCCCTGATTATGAACTCAGACCCATATGCAATTATTCAAAGCTCATATACCAACACCCTAACACACACTCACACATATCCATCACCCATGAGCTGAATTCATCAAGTTGAGACACACACACACACACACACACACACACACACACATACACACACACACACACTCCCTGTCAGGCAAAGGCATACACACATTCACACTTCCTCCCTCCCACCTAACCCATGGAGAGAGCCATTTTGGGCCCAGTTTGACATCATTCATGGAAATTTTGATTCAGACCATTTGGAAGGAGGTCAGAAGAGCCAGCAGCTCTGGGAATCCCCCTGTATCTGGCCCAGCCAGCAGCATGAAAAAAGCATAAAGGGAGGTGGGAAGAGAAGCAAGGAGAGTGGGGCCAACAGGTTGACAGGAGACAGGGAGGGAGGGCGGAGTGAGCAGCTAGCATGGAGAGCAAACTTGTAGGCCTTAGACCTCCCTGCTAGGCCTCCAGAGACTCTTCTGCATTGTCTGGGCAGCTCTTGCTGGTGAATCATCTGAAGGCCCACTCAGATTCAGGGACTTTAATATGAATATTCTACTTGGAGGACACAGGCAAAAGCGAGAAAGCCATGCCCGCAGGAAGCTAGGCACACTATCCCCAATGCCAGCTCACTGGTCAGTGCCTTGGAACTTAGGCCATTGCTTTTCTCTCCCCATTTGAGTAAGAGCTAATGGGTAAGATACCTCTGCCCCAAAAGGGCAAGACTTCCCTGGGGGGAGTCTTCCCCTTAGATTCATGGAAAACAATAAGATTATAGACCAAGAATTGGAAGCAACCTTAGAAACCACCAACTCAAAAGCCCTCTTGAAGAAACTGAGGCCCAGAGAAGTTAAGTAGTTGTTATTCAGTTGAGTCCTACTCTTTGTGACCCTGTGGACCATACCATGTCAATACTCTCCATAGGATTATCTTGGCAAAGAAATGGAGCAATTGGCCGTTTACTTCTTCAATGGATTAAGACAGAGGTTAAATGACTTGCCCAGGGTTACACAATTAGTGTCTAAGGCTGGATTTGATTTCAGGTCTTCCTGACTCCAGGCCGAGCACTCTATGCGCTGAGCTATCTAGCTGACTCTATGTTATAAGTAGTAGCAGCTTGCATTTACACAGGGCGTTAAGGTTTGCAAAGCACTGTATGTAGCTCCTTTGGTCCTCACAGCAACCCTGTGAAGTATGGTAATTACTATCCCCATTTCCACATGAAGAAACTGAGGCTGTGAGAAGTTAAGGGGTTTGCCTAATGTCAGGCAACTAGTAAGTATCCGAAGCAGGCTCCAATCTCTGATTTTCCTGATCTTAGGTCAAGCACTCTATCCATTGCACCACATAACTGCCTCCTAAGACTGGGCACTTGAGTGGGGGGCAGGGGGAAAGGTTGTACAGCTAGCCTCTGCCCCCATCTTTGGCACTGACTTTCTCTCTTCCCCAACTCCACCATGTGGCTACAGACAAGGAAGAGAGTGAGCACCCCAACAACAGCTTTAGCCCCTGCAGCGCCCATGACCGCAAATGCCTGCAGAAGCACTTAGCCAAGATCCGGGGCCTGAATAGTAACAGCGGCAAGATGAAGAGCATCGGGAATGTAGCCCACCGGGAAGACAGTCGGCCCATGGTGAGGCTCCTTCTTCTCCCAAACCCGGATCATTTCCAGTCAAAGGCATTCATTCAACAAATGTTTATTAAACACAAGGAATGTTCAGGATTCTCCCTGCTTACTCATTTTATTGTAGCGTGCATGACTAACCCTCATCCCACACTCCCTCTTTTCCTCCCAATGTGGCCCTGCCCTTCTGCTCTAGTGACCTTCATCCTCTCCCCAATCCCTCCCCAGCACCTGCTCTTCTCTAGTGTGCCTTTGGCCCTTGACCATAGTCCCCAGAATTCTCCAGGCCTTGCTACTTTCCTCCAGTGTGCCCCTGGTCCTGGTCCTCTCCCCTAGGTTCTCCATCCACTCCTCTTTTTCTCTTGTGTTCTCCTAGACCTTGACCATTTCTCCCAGTATCCTTTGGGCCCAAGTACTTTCCTTCAGTGTCCCCTCTCCCCAGCCCTTACGCCTCTCTCCCAGGATCCTCCCAAACCCCACTTCTCTCCTCTGGTGTCCTCTCAACTCTTGGTCCTTTTCCCATTAGATCCTCCTAGCGGCTAGGTCCTAGCCTTTGTTCTTCTGCAGTGTTCCCACTCTAGCTCCTTTCTCCCAGTATTTCTGTGGCCCCCCCATGACTCCACTGACCATTTCCTCCCTCTGCCTCAGCTTCCCTCCCCGCAGTCCTCACTCCTCTTCTAGCAGTGCACCCCAACCCTTGTCCCTCCACCCCTAGGCATTCCCACATCTCCCAGATTCTGCTGAATTCCCTACCCATTCAGAGAGCCCAAGGCCAAGCTATGTGACTTTGCTCGCCTCTTACAGACTCAGGGTTCCTGTCAGAGTGAACTACACCGGGCTCTGGAGAGGCTGGCAGCATCTCAGGGTCGCACCCATGAGGACCTGTACATGATTCCCATCCCCAACTGTGACCGCAATGGCAACTTCCACCCCAAGCAGGTAAGTCATGGCTCCTAATACTTCCCACTGATCTCCAATCTCTGCCCCCTCTCAAGGTCACTGACTATTATGGTCAAGACCTCCAAACCCAGCAGAAATCTAGACTGGAATCTTAACTCTAATGAGAACCTTCATCCTGACCTCAAATCTAGCCACAATTTTGAGGCCAACTTTGACCCCAACCCCAGCCCTAACTCTAACCTTGACTCTAATCATGGAACCATGGGCCATGAACATTGGAAAGGAGGGACCTTAGGAGCCACAGGAACATAACTTTAGGACCGGAAAGGATCTTAAAGGTCATCTATCCAATATCTTCATTTTTATCGATGATGAAATGGAGATGAAGCACTTTGCCCAAGGTCCAGCAAGTGATAAATGGCAGTATTAGAGTTTGAACCCAGTATGTCTGAATCCAAATCCAGCCTACTTTCCATTGCAGTGAATTCACTCTGCAAGCATAGAGGTCATGCAGCAGATAGAGCACTGGGTCTAGAGTCCGGAAGACTAAAGTTCAAATCAAGCCTCAGATACATACTAATGGTGTGACCCTAGGCAAGTCACTTAACTGCTGTTTGCCTCAATTTTCCCAACTCTAGAATGGGGATAATAGAAGCACCTACTTCCTAGGGTTATTGTGAAGATCAAATGAGATAACGTTTGTAAAGCATTTAGCCAGTGCCTGGTACATAGTATGTGCTTAACAAATGCTTATTTTCTTCCTTCCCTTCTTCTTTCCATCTTTCTTTTCATCCTTTCCTCCCTTCTTTCCTTCCCTTCTTCCCTCTTTCCTCCCTCCTCTCTTTTCTTCCTTCCCTTTTTTTTTTGAGGCAATCGGGGTTAAGTGACTTGCCCAAGGTCACACAGCTAGTAAGTGTCAAGTGACTAAGGATGGATTTGAACTCAGGTCCTCCTGACTCCAAGCCTATCCACTGTGCCACCTAGCTGCCCCCTTCCTTCCCTTTCCCCCTCCCTCCCTCCTTCTTTCCTTTTTTCGTTCCTTCCTTCCTTCCACAATAACTGCCCAAATTCAGAGACAATTATTAAATCACTGTTTCTGGCTTTGACATCTTCTAGAAGAACTTCTACTGGACTATTACATCAAGGAGTGGGACATTTCTGAGCAAAATGGGCAGGAAGGTCACTTAGTTCAACCCTGTCCTTTAAGAGCAGTGGGCAGTAAGATCCAGAGAAGTCACATGACTCATGCAAGGCCATTAAGCTGGTCAGTGGTAGATAGGCATCAGAATCTATATTTCCTGCCTCCCACTTCAGGAGATTATGATAGACTGCCTTTGTACTGTATCCATTTATCTTTCAGTCTGGTCACCCTGCTGCTTGCTAACTGCTTTGTAGATGTGTAGCCCCAGCCTGATGTCCTCTATAGCTCTCCCTGGTCTCTGGAGGCCCGAGATCTTACTCCTTCTTTCTTGGAGGCAGGGAAAAGTCAGTCTGGTTGTGCCATGATGGAGTCATGGTCAGCTTCTTCACCTTTCCCTCCGATCCCCACTAACTTCAGGATCTATGAAAAGAACCTGGGTCCACCCTCCTGCTTCTGGACGGGTTGAGGAATTGGGGTACCCAGGATCTGAGGCTCAGTTCTGCTGTCACATTGCTGTGTGACTTTGAATAAGTCACTTCTTCTCACTGGGTTTTGGTTTCCTCATCTGTAGAATGAGAGGCTTGGTCTAAATGTGTTTTACTATCCTTTCCAGCCATAATCCTATGATTCTAACAAGGATGTGGTTGAACCCAATGAAAACTAGATCTCACAGCTGAAGAACTGAACTTAGGGCAGGGGGAGTATCATGGGAGCAAAGATTTAGAGCTGAAAGGGACCTTGGAGGTTATCTAGACCAATTCCCATATTTATAGATGAGGAAACTGACGTTCAGAGAGGTTGTGACTTGAACAGGATCATACAGCTACCAGATGTCTGAAGCAGGATTTGAATCCTGACTCCAGACCCAGTATTCTCTCTATGTTACCTGTCAGAAAGGACAGAAGATCCAACATGGCATTACTGACCTTGACTTCCTCTGTTTCCCCAAATGACAGGATGGTGGAGGTCTTTGTGCTTGGTTACAAGGACCCAAGCCTTAGCTGACCCCACCTATGCTGTCATTCCCACCCCCAAGCAGACCTAATTTATACTATTCTGGCAGAAGAGACAATAGACTTGGTCTTCGCAGCCCCAGAGGGCAGAACTAGGAGAACTGGGTGAAATTTACCAAGAGACAAATTTAGATTTAATTGAAATGAAAACTTCCCCCAAATTAGAGCTATCCAAAATGGAATGGAAAAAGTCAATTTCCTTTCACTTAGAGGTCTTTAAGAGAAGGCTGGGTAACCATTTGTTGGGAATATTGTATAAGAGATTTCAGCAAAGGTAAGGGCTAGATTAGTTGGCCTCTGAGGTTCTTTTCATCTTTGAGATGCTGCCATCTTATGCCTATATTTCATGCATCAATCAATAAACATTTATTAGGGGTTTAATAAATGTTTATTAAACCCCTACATACCAGGCACTGGGCTAAGCTCTGGAGATACAAAAAGAGGCAAAAGACAGTCCCTGCCCTCAAGGAGCTTACAATCTAATGGAAGAGTATGGAAGAGTAGAAAGCATGCTTGCTCTGCTAGTACATACTAGTCGGAGCTCTGGAGGTAGATCCTCTGAAAGGCTGTGGCATAGGGGAAAAGAGTTGGCTTTAGAAAGTATCAGGGTTCAAGTCTTGCCTCTGACTATGGGCAAGTCATTTAATCTCCCATTACCTCAGGTAACTCTGTAAGACTGTGAGTTAAGAGAAAGTGATGATGTGTAGTGATAGTTTCCTTATGTGGAAGTTTCTTATGGTAATGAAATCAGGTCTAGGCTTCCTAAAAGAAATGAAATCTCAAATTTCACCCTCAGCATAATCTCAGCCCTAACTCTAAACAGTCCAACTCTTCTCATCTAGCTCAAGGTGGACACACACACACACACACACACACACACACACATCATCATCATCATCATCATCATCATCATCATCATCATCAATCATCCCTTCTTTCCACTCCTTAAACTCATACCCAAATTCTGCCCTCAGTCTTCCAGCAGTTTACCAGTTCCCTCTTTTGTGATCTGTATACTCTGGAAGGCAGCTAGGTGATACACTGGATAGAGTGCTAGGCCTGGAGTTAGGAAGACCTAAATTCAAATCTGGCCTCAGACATTTACTAGCTGTGTGACCCTGGGCAAGTCACTTAACCTCTGTTTGCCTTGGAGGAAGCTAGATGGCTCAGTGGGTAAAGCACTAGGCCTGGAACCAGGAAGATCCAAGTTAAAAATCTAGCCTTAGACGCTCACTAGCTGTGTGATCCTGGGCAAGTCACTTAATCTTGTTTGCCTCAGTTTCCTCATCTGTCAAATGAACTGGAGAAAGAAATGCAAACCACTCCAGTATCTCTGCCAAGAAAATCCCAAATGGGGCCATGGAGAGTCTGAAAGGATTGAACAACAATACTCTTTTAAATTATTTTTATTTTTATTTATTCCTAACATTCATTAAAAAAAACTTTTTTTTGAGTTCCAAATTCTTTCCCTCCCTCCTTCCACTTCTTTGCCCATTGAGAAGGCAAGAACTGTGAGATCAATTATATAAGCAACAATACTCTTGATTGGCAGCTTGTTGTGTTGAATCAGATACTAGACTTTGGAATCAGGATTTGGAATCAGGAAAATCTGGGTTCAAATTCTGCATCTGATAATTATTAGCTGTGTCATTTAACCTCTCTGTGCTTAAGTTTCCTCATCTATAAAAAATTGAGAGGCAGGATTGATGGCCTCTTTCTCCCTTCCAGCTCTAAATCTAAGATCCTTTGAAACCTGTTTCCCTTGGTTGATGGGTTGACTTGTTTCTTTCTCTCAAGGTCCTTTAAATGCTTTCTCTATTACCTTGGCTTTGAGACTGAGTCAAAGAGGGGGTGGGGCATGTCTAGGTTTGACCTTTTTGTATATGAAATAACCCCTCACTGCCCTTGTTTCTGACAGTGCCACCCAGCTCTGGATGGGCAGCGGGGGAAATGCTGGTGTGTGGACCGGAAGACAGGGGTGAGGCTCTCTGGAGGGCTGGAGCTGAGAGGAGAGCTGGACTGCCATCAGGCATCAGACAGCCTCCGAGACTGAGCTGTTTGAGGCCCACAGGCAGGGGTTCCCCAAACACCGCCCCCACCCCAAGAGACCAAGGAACCCACTGAGTCTGTGTTTGAGTTGGGGGAGGGTGGAGGAGGCCAAAGAGTCCTTTCTTCCTCCTCCCTGGCCTGGCCTTAACTTCTAATCCAGATTTCTCCCCTTGGTGTGAGTGTGCCCTTTGGGATGTCCTTCTTTGGGCTCCAGTAGCCCAAGATCAGGGAGTGTGTAGACTTCCATGGCTATATCCCCAAATTGATCCTGAATTCCAGTCTTCAGCCTCCTGGGGATGTTTGCTCCTCACCCTCTTAGTCTGGTGGGCCAGGGGAATGGGTACCAGAAAAGGGTTGGTCTGTAGAAGAGAATTCTCAGTCTAGAAAGAATAGCATAAAGGCAGCTCAGTGTAGTGGTTAGAGAGCTGACCTCAGAGTCATGAGGACCTGGGTTCTAGTCCCTTCTTTGACACTAACTGGCCATGTGACCCTAGGTAGTTCAATTCACCTTTCCATTCAAGTTTCAGAGAAGACATCAACTTATGTTAGTAAAGAAAATTTTGAAACTCCTATACCAGTGTCACCACAGATCTGGTCCCTGTCCTGGAGAAAGTAATAGGGAGAAGGCAAATACTTGGTCCAATTCTTCTAGCTGCTTTGGGCCCTAGGGTAGGTAGGAAGTTCGGAGCTGGTCCAAATGCAGCTTTTGTGGGTTGAGGGTGGGGATGGGGAAAGAGAATTGTTAGATTCAGCTAACAAAAAACCCCAGCCTTTCTCAATCAAGGAGACCAGTAATTTTTTTTGCTTCTTTTTTCTCCCGTTGGCCGAAGACTTTCTTCCCCCTTCCCCTCCCCCATCGACTCCTAGCTTGGGGGACACTGCCACGTCCCAGCCTACATGGTTCACCCTCAGTTGCACCACAAATGAGGCACACATTCATTGGCTTCCTTCGAGGTCAGGTCCTGTGTGGCCTCCGATAGTCCAGGCAAAGAGGGGAGCGTATTGGCAGGTCACGTGTAGCCAGGACACTCATATTCACACTGGCTTGGGTGGTTCTCTGGGTTAAGGGGAAAGGGGGTGGAGGCAGGAGGGAAGCAGGTTTGAGGAGGGGCTAGAAAGTCAGGAAGGAGCAAGCAGCCAAGATTTCGGGCACGACTGGGCAAGAGATGCTTAAGGAAGTTAACATTAGAGAGTTTTGGAGGACGTGAGGGTGTTCACTTCAGTGCTAGAGTTAGGGAAAAGGAAGGGATATAATGCAGCAGTCCTGGATTTTGGTCTCCTCCCAATCCTCCCATCCCACCCCTGCTTCGGCAGGCCTCTTTCCCCACCCTGGCCCAGCCTCTTCCCCTTTGTCCTATGCAACACCTCGATCCTGATGGCCCAGCCTAGCCAGGCTTTTCCCAGTCACTTCTGTGGGACACACTGCTCTGAAGACATGCCAGCTTTCTTCCAGCAGACGGCAGGTCACCAGACTGTGCTTTACATAGGGACCTACCAAATCAGCAATTAGTGATGTTTGATTGTTGTTATATGTGTGTGTGTGGTTTTTTTTTTTTAAACGAAACAAAACTGAAAAATGTCCCAGTGATATTGTCTGATTTATTTTTGATACTAGGGTGGGGGAGGAAGTGGAAGACTAGGGGATTTGGAAGAGACAAGGACATTTCTCAAGGCTTTGGGCCTGTTAACCCTTCCCTCTCCAGCCGAGGCATTTCTTCACCCACCCGCATACACCATCCCCAATCCCACCAATGCAGAATACTGTTACATATTTATATAACTCTTGAGAAGGCAGTGTGAAGTAATGAAGGGAGGGTCAGCCTTGGAGTCAGAAAGACTTGGGTTCTGCCTCTCACTCACACTGGCAATGTGACAGTGGGGGACAATGGAAAGAGCCCTAACTCTGGAATCAGAGGATGCGGATTTTAATTTCACCCCTTTGTGATCCTGGGCAAGTTGATGAACCTCTATGGGCCTCAGTTTCCTCATCTGTAAAATGAAACACTTGGACTGGATAACCTCTAAGTCCTTTTCAGCATTAGATCAGATATGTGATCCATGAGCAAATCATTTAAATCTTTTGGTGCTCCCAAGCAATTCTCCAGGACTATATGGTTTAGATAGGCTGCATCTGAATTTCCACACCAGGAGGACAACAATCATATCAGAAGTCTGAAGAGCAAGCTCTATATAGGGCTTAAAAGTTTGCAAAGCACTTTCCTCACAACAGTCCTGCAAAATAGGTCGGGAGGCTGTGTAAAATCATCTTGCCTACTCCAGTGAGGGATGGCTATGACTGGTCTGGGAGTGATGAACAGTGGGTTATGGAGAGAGGGAAACCCAGAAGGAAGAAGAAAGCGGGCCTTAGCAGGAGGCTGTGGAGCCAATCTGGACTGCATCTATTTCTGGGAAGGGGTGGTGGTAAGGTTGAGGGGGAGGATCAGATTTCCTCTAAATTTGTTAACCTGGTGATGGGGGTGCCACTCGGGAGAGGCCTGTCTGGGTGTGTGTGGGGGTGGGGGGAGGCAGACCAGGAGGTCTGCACTTTCTTAACACTCTTTTGGCCCCCGGTACACAGTCCCCTGTCTCTTGCCCTGGAGGCGTGGGATTTTAAAAACAATGTATGTGTTTTGGTGGGGAAACAGGATGATGGGGTATGGCTCTCATTCTTACTGGACTGAGTTTATGAGGCTGTGAACTCTCGGGAGATTCCCACCACTGAATTTCGGTAAATGTGAAGTCTGAGGTAAAATTGGATTCACAGAATCAGGAACACCTGGGTTAGAATTCGGCTTCAGACACCTATTAGCTGTGTCTGGGCAAGTCACTGTTAAGTGACTCTTTTGCCTCTGTTTCCTCATCTGTAAAATGAGGTTGTAGTACCTCATGACCTCTTAGGTCTCTTCTTTCTCTAAATTCGCCTTCTAGTACGCTCGTAATCTTCTTTACTCCTTCTCCCCATGGCTGGGCTGTGCCTGAGGACACAAGCTTGGTGTGGTGGGTGGGCAGCTCTCTTCCTTATCCCAAAGATAGCTGGCCACCTCTGTACATAGACCATGTTGTCTTTTTTCACCCATTTTCCGCCTCTCTAGGTTCCCAGCTGGAGGAGATTTTAGGAATTATCAAGGCTAACCTTGATAATTCCCAAGGTTCCCAAACTTTTTGGTCTCAGGACACTTTACGTTCTTGGGAGAACCTCCCCCCCCACTTGTTTACATGGGTTATAGGTATAAATATTTATTCTATAAGAAATTAAAACATTTTAGTATTATTACAAAAATAATTTTGACCCTTTGAAAGGATCTTGGGGACCCCCATGTCCCAGGGCCACACTTTGAGAATTGCTGATTTGGGCTGAACCTCTCATATTACAGATGAGGAAACTGACTCCCAGAGAGAAGTAACTTTGCTGAAGGTTACACGGGTCAGATGGCAGAGCCAAGATTTAGGCCTCAGATTCCAAGTACAGTGTTCTTTGCTCTATATGTTTGTCTCCTTTAGAGAACTAAGTCAATTCTTGGACTACTCTGCTAGGTTCAGCCCACAGGCCCCCTTCCTTCTTCCCTCCCTTGTGGTTTATGACTGAGTGTGTGAGTGTGAGGAGGCTTGGCAAGTTTAAGTTCTAGGCCACCAAGCTAAACTTTTAAAATCTGCCCCATCAGCTTACAGCCCTCAAAGGCGATCCCCTCCCCAGAATCCTGCTGTTCATGGGCCTCTAAGCCCCAAGGTGTGGGTGTATCTGTGTTGGGCCTGCCTATCTATGGTGTATTTATGGGGTATGTGGGGTGTCCATAGAAACAAACATTTATTAAGTGCCTACTGTGTGCCAGGCACCATACTAAGCATTGGGGGGCATAAAAAGAGGCAAAAGACAGTCGTCTGCTCTCAAGTTTACAATCCAATGGGGAAGATACCATGTGAACAAAACTATCTCTATGAAGAGGAATAACTTGGAAATAATGGACAGGGGGAAGGCACTGGAATTCAGAGAGGTTGGGAAAAGCTTCCCGTAAAAGTTGGAACTTAAAGGAAGCCAGGGAAGTCAGTAGGCGGAGTGGTGGAAGGAGAGTGTTCCAGGCATGGGGGACAGTTAGGGAGAATGCCCAGAGACGACAGATGTGTGGCGTGTATGAGGGATTTGTGTGCATGATGGTGTTTTGATTCTCTCTCTCCCAAACACATATATACATGTATATACATATACATAATGCACAGGCATATATATGTTGTTTGGTCCTTTCAGTCGTGACCAACTCTTTGTGATCCCATTTGGGGTTTTCTTGGCAAAGATACTGGAGTGCTTTGTCATTTCCTTCTCCAGTTCACTTTCATTGATGAAGGAACTATTTGATGAGGCAATAGGGTTAAGTGACTTGCCCAGGATCACACAGCTAGTAAGTGTGTGATGCCAGATTTGAACATGGAAAGATCAGTCTTCCTGAGTCCAGGCCTGGTGCTCTATCCACTGTGCCACCTAGCTGCCCTACACACACACACACACACACACACACACACACACACATACATGGAGTGTGTGTGTATTTATGTGAGGGAAGGTAGCCTGTGTGTGGAATGTGTGTGTCACTGTGGATGGGATAGGTAGGTGGGTTCATTTTTGTTTTTGGTTGAGACTTTTGATTTCATTGGTGTAGGGAAGTTCCTTTTGCTAAAAAGGCACATCTGCAACTCTTCTGCAGCCTCTTAGAGTCTTACAGAGGGTTTCTTGGGAATGCTGAGAGATCCAATGAGTTACCCAGAGTCACAAAGCACAGTAAGCTTCAGAGGGGACGCTTGACACCAAGTTTTTCTGACTTGGAGGGCAACTCTTGATCCACCAGGACCCTATTGTCTCCCATAAATAAACCCACAAGGAAAGCCAACCATCCTCAAATCAAATCTCAGGGTCGCTGGAGGCGTTCTGAGGTTGTTGCGGTTGAGTGAGGCAGGTACTGTCCCTCATCATGCACCCCTTCTTTCCCCCTCACCCTTGGGAATCTTGGGGCCAAGTTAGGGGCAGAGGGAGGTATTTAAACCACTTTCTGGTCTACAGAAAGAGGCGGAGGAGGAGGATGACTTTGAAGGAAGTGAATCATATCCTTCATCTTCTCCCCCCTAGTTGGTGTTTCCCTCGAAGCTCATGTTGTCAGAGTCCAAAGGGGAATTTGTGTTCCAGTGCTGGCCTGGCTTCCTTCTGTTAGTGTAAGCCAGTTCTGCTCCTCCCACCTTAAGACTCCAAGACCTTAATATCTAGACACTCAGGACTAAGTCCAGGCCCAGTGACTTCAGTTCCTCAAAAGGTCCATTTCCTTTGGTGGGGGAAGGTTGTGTTAAAGACCAAAATCCTTCCTGTTGAGTCTAGGCCTGATCTTCCTTCCCCCCGCAGTTTAACTTCATTTAACAAACATGTACTGGGTGCTTACTATTCAGATTTCATTCATTCAATGTTTATTAAATTCCTATAATATGCCAGGCACTGAGCTTGGCACTAGGGATACTAACACACACAAAAATATGCCAACACACTCCTTATCCCCTACCTACTTACAGCTTATCGAAGGAAATACATGTATACATCTAAGCAAATACAAATATGAACACAGGATTTTCAGGAATGAGATACTAGCAACTTTGGGGATCAGATAAAGCCTCAGATTAGGAGATAGTTGCTAAATTGAGCTTTGAAGGAAATGAGGAATCAGTGCATTCCAGACGTGGGGTGCAGCCTGAGTGAAGACGCAGAGGACAGAAAGCGGGATATCACGTCTGAAGGATGGGAAACAGGCTAGTTTAGCAAGAACATAGAATTCACAAAAGTAGGTGGTGAAGTAAATAGCATGCTGGGCCTCTTCTGGAGGCCTTAATACACGTAATGGCTGTGTGACCCTGGGCAAGTCACTTACCCCTGTTTGCCTCAGTTTTCTCATCTGTAAAATGAACTGGAGAAGGAAATGGCAAACCACCGAAGTATCTTTGCCAAGAAAACCCCAAATGGGGTCACAGAGAATCCGGCACAACTGGAAACAAACAAACAAACAAAAAAACCCCAACTGCACAACATCAAAAGAGTGCATAAGAAGTAATAACACATGCAATGAGCCTGAAAAGATGAAATGGGCCTGGAGTCAAATTGTTCAGGGGCCTTTAAAAGACCGGGAGAGGAGTTTGTATTTGAATGGGGAGCCACTTTGGAGGCTCTTAGGAGGGGAGTGACTTGGGCAGGCCCAGAGCTTTAGGAACTCAATTCAACAATATTTAAGCCTCTTCTGAATTCTAGTACAGAGGGGAGATTCAAAGTTTAGGCTCCTTTCCTGCCCTCAGGGAGTAAATCTAGCAGGGAAATAATCCATGTGTACATAGCTAGGAGGCATCCTTCCTGCTAACTACATTGTACATTTACAAAACAAAATGCTATGTGAAGTCTGAGGGGGAAGCTTAGTAGCAAGGGAGGGAGCCAGCAAGCAGAGAAGGCTTGGTGGGGATGAGGGCATTGGAGCTGGACCTTACAGGACAGGTAGGAATTTGAGTAGGA